ACTTCGCTCACAACTTCGACGTGATCGAAAATGGAGACTGTGAAGGTGGTGACGGTGAAGCCAATCGAAGCAACTCCGTCTACCTTCCAAGATTACGGCCAGGTCATCGAGGTGTCACCGGACGGCGAGGGGTTCGGTCCCCGTGACGCTCAACTTGATCTCAGCAAAGGAATTCCCAAGTTTTCAATCAAGCTTCAATTTTTATCAACTTATCTATGTTTTCCAGTGGTTTTTCAATTCCCTTTGTATCTTTTTGAATTCAATATGCTAATTTTGAGATTTTAGAATTTCTATGTTTTTGGGACTTAAAATTTATTGAGGTTCCTTTGTATCTTTCTATAGGCAACTGTTTATGTACTGTTTGTGGAAAGTACTAATGCTTAACTCTTAAGAAGACATATTATAAGAATGAAGAATCTGCACATGATTTCAACTACTAGAATCTATATAGTCACAAGAACCATGAAACTTTATAATTCAGATTGACATTGAGGCACATATGCAGCAACCTATGTTCTAACTTATTGGATTTAATGTTTGTCTGTTAGGTTCTACATTATGCATCTTGAAAACCGGCCACTCAAGTTTTCGAATATCACACATCATGCAAGTGTTACTCAATGCCTTGGGTCCATTGGTGGTAACGTTTGGTTTCTTGGCATGGCGAAGCCATCCATTGTTGATTCAAATGAAATCAAGGACGGCGAAGGTAAGAAAATCGTGCAATCATGCAGTGGTCATTCTTATGTGCCTCCTGCCGTTGAGGATGTTCAAGTTTTTAAGGTTTCGGGTTCTAAATTTCTTAAGCTTAATCGAGGTACATGGCATGCCGGTCCTCTATTTGAGTCTGATGCAATGGACTTTTACAATCTGGAATTGAGCAATACAAATGTAAGTTTTTCATATTCCCTTTCAATGGAGTGTTTGTTACATGCACCTGAATTCGTTTGTACCATGCAGCTGTATATGATTCTCCTGTCCAAGCATATGTACCAGCAAGATTTGATAGAATGGAAGCAGATAATATCTGTTTTGAGCTTTCTTCAGATGTCAATGCCCTTAGAAGAATCTGCATAGCTTCTTCTCTGAACAAGCTTTTATCAGTTGAGTTCAACGCGTCTAACTGAATCATTATGTTAGCAGCTAAAATCTGGTGACCAGGTTGTAGTTGGTCTGCACAATGCATGATCAAAGAGATGGAATTCTAATGGCTGCAATGCTTCTTCGATTAATAAATCCTTGACACAGCAATTTAAATCGATACCTGTTTTTTCTATCCGTTTCGAGATTGATAAAGCAAAAATCTTCAAGTGACCTGGTGAACATGCTAGAATCAAGCTTAATTATGTTTTTTGCATCCAACTTTTCTTGCATCACATCTCGAGGATCCATTGGATGAATCTTCTCATAAGTATTGAAAGTTGTCAATCTTTGTTCATGATGAACTGAAGTAGAAGATACACAGCTGGTATTTGATACATCCATATAATTTGCAGAGTTGCTGCTACAATAACTGCTCCACCATGAAATCTCTCCATAAAGCATAACCTGATAATACACCAAACACTCTTTATATCTCCTTGCCTTGTGATTCGCTCGCAGCTCCTTGACGGTAATGAATCTTATTAGGTCATGTGCATTTCTTTCTATTTTGAGTATACTCGTTCATTATTCTTGGCTCAATCTTGTAGATCATGCGATAACAGTAAGGACACCATGGAGATGAAGGCAATTGGATTATTTTCTCTTCAAGGAATTGGTCCGTGGACAGCTTGCCATGAAGCTTCTGGCTTTGAGACTTGAGAATGGCACTCCATGAAGTCCTTTATGCGTTTCGGTAAGACATAGCATGGACTTGGTATTTCGGTGTTTTGCAGGTCTTTTATGCATTTGAGTTTGCAAGGAATAGCTGTGGTGTGCTAATTGTTGCTTCTTTTTGTTGTAAACGACCTTCTCAAGCTCACGGATGCGAGTTGAAGATAGGGATTTGTGAAATGTGACAGCAAGTGGAAAAGAAGAATAAGTGTTAGACAACTTTTATTCACAGCTTGATGAGCACAAAAATGAGATTTCGACGCAAGGGATTTGATTAACTCATGCGATCACGGTGAGTAGAACTTTCACAATAGCTAGGTCTGACTTAGTCGTATTCATCCCGGCCTGTTTTGTTATGCTTGATATTGGATTTTATGTAGATGAATTCAATGCCTTTGTAGCTTATTCAGTTGAGCTTCCTGGTTTGTTTTGGTTTGCGCCTCATATGAAACCCAAGCTTATTATGTTAGTTTGTATGCATGATTTCTTGTAATTTGTCATGACTCCTGCCTATACTGATCATACTAACATCTTTTCATGTATGTGTGATGGGAGTGCAGGCCACCGTAGTCTTAATCAAACCGTGAAGCTTACATTGAGGGAATATTCGATCGTGACAATGGATTTCCTGCAGAACTTGGAGAGTTTTAAACCAAGTCCAAGTAGTGTACAGTAGAAACCAAAAGGTCATAAGGCTGCTGTATTGAAGTCAAAGTCTTGAATAGCCACATTACCGACATAAATTAGTAAAAATGGTCTTTGTAAACTTATGTAACAAGAGCTGGTTATATTGCCTCTTGAAACCTACTCCATACATGAAGTCTTTATTTGAATTTGTAATAGTGATGAACTCTTAAGCCAATAGATACCGCTTCTCATAATGAGAATTAAAATTTTGGCGGTGAATAAGGATCACAACTTGTTGTTGCCACTGTGTCATTTGTATATCACAATCTTAATTCTATGGTCTTTGTAATATAACTTATCCTTGCTCCAGCTTGTTTCCTCTTATGGCTTTCAATAAAAACGGTTGTGAGAATAAATTGGATGGTTAGAAATCTTTGGCTCAAAAATTAACATGTGTGCATTCATAGCTCTTGATATGCTCTCTTATGAAGGGTATTATAATTTTTGTACGAACGGAGAACTCTATCGGAAGCAAAAATTGAGTTATGGCCTTGAATCCAACAAAACTTATATTGGCCACTTATCATTAATCAATTATTCCACGCACCTCTTAAAATGTAACTCTTGACTTAAACACAAATGGATAATAACTTGTAAACATTTTTAAGACAAGTTAAATCATATTTAGAGGTGTGTAACCTATAAGACTTGGACAATTAGTATGTGAGTAACCTTTTTTCCTTTGCAAAAATTTGTAAGCATAAACAAAATCTCTATGCTTTGAACTTCTCGAAACAAACTTGGCCCAAGTTTAGCTTGTTTACCACACGCCTTGAGTACCAATTTGAAATATGGTTCAATAACTACTTGAAACCAAATGATTATGTCTTGAAGCGAATTGAAATATCTTCTAAATTAATTGCATCTAAATTCAATTATGACTTGCAAGCTAAATCTAAGTTTGTCACAAACTGATTTAGTATCCAAACATAGCCTGACGCTTGTAATCGATTCGAACAAAGCCTGAGGCTAAATTGACCGTGTCCACAAGCACCATGTGAAGTATCTTTGAATTAACTTGAATTAAGTACAGACCATAATAAGCAACTTGTAGTGAGGCTTAAACAACATTTAAGGAGAAGTTTGTAATCAAGTTGAAATAAGGTGTAAATTTCTTGAAACTGTGTGGCAAGGTAGATCCAATCATGTACTTTATGTCATTGATCATATCATGTCTGTCTGATCGTGAGAACGAGGACACACACGAGTTTGGGTACAAGGGGCTGGAGGCGCACTCCTCCCATAATAGTTCAGCACAAATTGCCATGGATTATCACCACAATGAGTATAACGAAAAGTCTTTATAACGAAACCTTAGAGAGTCATGACTAGAAGTCATGTGGCGGTAGGACATTTATTAAATACCAAAGTAGGACAAATTTGGGGTGACACATGCAAGTGTTACTCAATGCCTTGGGTCCATTGGTGGTAACGTTTGGTTTCTTGGCGTGGCCAAGCCATCCATTGTTGATTCAAATGAAATCAAGGACGACGAAGGTAAGAAAATCGTGCAATCATGCAGTGGTCATTCTTATGTGCCTCCTGCCGTTGAGGATGTTCAAGTTTTTAAGGTTTCGGGTTCTAAATTTCTTAAGCTTAATCGAGGTACATGGCATGCCGGTCCTCTATTTGAGTCTGATGCAATGGACTTTTACAATCTGGAATTGAGCAATACAAATGTAAGTTTTTCATATTCCCTTTCAATGGAGTGTTTGTTACATGCACCTGAATTCGTTTGTAATACTCTTTATAATAGTACATATGAATTATATTTATCTTTCTATTTTGTGGTTAATATATGGCTTTTTGTGGTAGTTGATCATACCACACATAGCTTTGAGAATGACAATGGAGTGGTTTTTTCAATTGATGAGTAATCTGAGAGATGGAGTGGGTTTTTCAATTGATGAGTAATCTGAGAGCTTCTTGTAATTTTCAGCAATGTGTACCAATAAATTAGACACTCTATACTAATACAAAAATTACTGGAGATTTAAGCATATGTTTTGTTTAATGCCACCAGTCCAAATTTCCATTTGTTGTTTTCATGTGAGTGTTGCCATTTAAGCAAGATGTCTATTACTGTGTTAAGGGTATTTTCAAAATTGTTACGATAATTGGCCATTAATAAACCAAAGTCATAGGAATGGAGATTTCCATTTATATCATTTCAAAGAATTGAAGATATGAAAGAAAAAAACTAAATGATCTGATGCCATTCAAACGTCTTTGGTGTCAGTAGCATTCATTCAGTCTAGTACTTTAAAACAAAAGATTGATAAGCAAAATCTTTAGAAACAGGTAGCACTTTACAAAATTGTGAAACTATCATTTACAAATCATAAATCAAAATAAACCTTATCAATAAATTACACAAGGATTTTGTTTAATGACATGAATTTGCTCTATCATTGAAAAAAAAAGGTGCTATAATTAAATTATTAGAATCTTCTGTTGAAATTGCTGTTCTATCAGTAGAATCTCAACTGTGAATGTCACTACTCAGCTCCCATCATCTGCATAATAAGAATAACATTGTATCTTAATTAATCACAATCACAAGTTTTTTGTATAATAAGAAGTAAACTATTGAAAAATATGAATAGTCTTCTTACCTTGAATATATCTCCAAACATCCCCATGGGGTTCCTTCTCTGTACGCCGTAAAACTTCTCCGCAATATCGTCTAGCAACTAAATACAGTTTACATGTCAAATACAAAATAATCATAAGATAATTATAACACAATTTTCTTGTTCGAAATCAAATTGTAAGTTAGCTGACCTCATTGAAGGCAGGTTCCCTCTCGATACATCCTTTGAAGTTTGCTCTCAACATATTAAAAAGAGGAAAAGCATCTCTTTCCATCGTTTGCAAAAGAAAATTGATGAATTGCATCAAGTCTGTCTTTGGAAACTCAACCTCAGAAGCTTGAGTTTGCTTCTTTATCTCATCCACTAGTATGTTTGCATCCTTCAAATTACCTAAAGATAAAATACCTATCATGCAAGAAATCTGCAATTGCTCAGTTCGAAACATTGTTGAAATAAGCATGGAATTAATTACATGTCCAAGATATCAACCAAACATGCATGGAATTAGGCTCTCAAATGCTTCTACGATTTTACCTTAACACAGCCCGAGCAATGGCCAAATCATCTTCACCGGGATAACACTACAATATTTGAAAAGCATTTTAGCAAACCTTCCTCAAACTATGCCAAAATAGAAAATGAATGCAGAATGTTGAACCGAGTTTTAGCATAAAAAATAAGATCAAACTTTTTTGGTATGCATCGATAGAATTTTGCAAAGTTGAGCCAAATAACAAGGAATAAGAAAGTTAAGAGGCTGACCCTGCCCAAAAAGCTCACTAAATTAGTAGCGAACTTGATCGGATCATTTCCTCTCACAAAATGATATGTCACTCTATTCATATCCTGCATGTCAAAAGCACATTGTCATGTATTTATACAAACAAAGGTCAAATAGTTTCATAGTTAAGTGAAGCTTTTCAAGAGAAGCAACAATGAAGTTTCCATTCCCTATAACCGATATTATGATACATACCACCTCAGGAATTTCAGAAAATATGTACTCAGCCAGAAGTATGTGCAGTTCTGGAGCTCCACTACTATTTGTTCCAAATTCAGCAGACCACCTGAATAAAATAGCAGCAAAGTCAGAAATATAGCTCCAATGAACAAATGAATAAATATGCTTTTAGATTCCTTGACTATTGTTTAATAACATACTTCTCTAAACTTAAATATATACGATTCTTGTATAAAATGCAAGTCTTTGATATATATGATTTATTTTTCCTATCTATCTGATACAATTTCTGCTTTATTATTCATATACTTAGTCATATAAAGCAAAGTTTAATCTATAATAATATTTTAAATTTTGAGTAGTCTCACTTGATAGCAGCTTTTAAGAATGAGGAACAGCCCTCAACACGCATCTTTGCACTTCCAAGATTTTCCGAAAGTTGCTGCATGTCATCGACATCCCACAGGTGTTGTGGCAGTGGAACCCGTGGAAATCCCTCGTATATTTTTCTGAGACGTTCTGCCGTTGAAAATTGTTTGTAATTAGTAACAAGAATGGATATTTTGTGGCTAACAACTAAATACGAAGAATGAATGCTTATGCAAACACATGTTAGTCACCAAATTAAAAATTCTCATGAAATTGAGTGAGAACACCTCATAATAAAAGCAAGTGTTCCAAATTGACCAAATGATAAATGGAAAATAAGTACATTGCATCATAAATTGCCGATGAAAAAATTGAAGGGTTAAAGATAAGATAAGAACTCACCAAGAGTTTCATCATCATAAGGAATTTTCCCTTTCCCTAAAGTCTCCACAAACAACAAAGCAAGCTCTGCTCCACAGGTAACCTAAGACAACGAGAAGACAACATAAAACAAAAATAGTGAGATATTATGATTTTTTTGAAAAAGTAAAGCCAAAGACACGAGAAAATTACAAATTCTGAGCGGTCCTATTTCGACGTGTTCCATTATCAAATCAAACTTAGTTAAGTGGGTGAGAAAACACATCAGTATCAGTATGCATGTTCAAGTTATTAAATGTCACCCAATTGATAAGAGATTCCATGCATATAAACCAAAGTAATAATCACACAATTCAGGACAGATCATCTCAAGTACAAGAAAGGATACCTTAGCACTAACGAGGGTCATAGACATGCCACTTAAATAAAACAAGGTCAATCCCTTCGTCATTCTAACAAATTTATGCATTAGACAGTTGCGCTATGAATCAAACTATTAGTTACAAATGTGAATCTCTGCTTATGTATACAATTTTACACTGCAAGCAGCATAAGAAGTCCTAATAATGACAGTTAATTCTAGAAACCAACAAAATAACACAAATGCATATGGAGGCAAAAGGCTAATTAGTCACCATAGTTGAAAAAACTAACTAAATGAAAACTTGCATGACATCATTGGTTCTGTCACAACATTGTTTTTACATCATGATACATCATTATGGACAACAAAAATCCAAATGCCAAAATACATACCGAGACAATCTATTGTGTAATTCTTATCTGGCAGCCTTTGATATGCTTTTCCGCCTCTTCAATAGCCCATCCATTAGCTTGATATATGTATATTTATTTAAACAAACTCCTTTCTGCTCTGCCTGTTGAAACAGTTTCATTGCTTCCTTGTACTTCCCTTGAGTACACAAACTACATATTTGCTCCGAGTACATCATATCACTTGTACCAACCTCCAGAGAAGTGTCTTGAGCTTTCACATCTTTCCCTTTCTCTGCAAATTTCGAAATAAATTTTGCAGCTTCCTCATTTCTACCAGCATTAGTAAGCGCACTCGTAATAGCATTATAGGTATATCGATCAGGCTCCATATTTTTCCTCTCCATTTCTACCATAAGATCAAATGCATCCTCAAGCCGTCCTTCTTGGCAAAAAGAGGATATTACTATGTTGTATGTGACTATGTCAATGGGCTTCCCTTTAGAGATCCATGTGTTAAATAGGGTAAGACCTTTCTCCAGCTTACCCCCTCTACAAAGTCCCCGGAGAAGAATATTACACGTGAAAATGTCTGGTTTGAACGAGTGTTCTACCATTTTGTTATGAAACTGAAATGCTTTCTCTACCGCTCCTTCCCAACAGTAACCATGAATAATTATGTTACAAGTAGCTTCGTCGGGGACCAAACCCTTCTCTAAAAGCTCATTCAGTCTATCAACAGCTTGATCAGTTTTTCCGGACAGACACAATCCCCTGATTATAGTGTTATAAGTGACAACAGTGGGAACAATTCCTTTTTCCTTCATCTCATCCCAAAGCTTCAACGCCCTATCTGCTTGTTCATCCTTGAAATACCCCATGATTAGAGTTCCATATGTTACCTCATCAAGAATATAACCTCGCTTCCTAGCATTTATAGTCAACTTGTATGCATCCTCCAGCTTCTTCTCCGAGCATAAAATGTGCAATATGGTGTTTAGAGTAAAAGTATCTGTTTTCAATCCCTTCCTTCCCATTTCATCCATCATCTTAAATGCCTCTCCCATCTTTCCAGCCTTACAATAACTATTAATCATAGTGTTATAAGTAAAACAATCCGGAGAGAACCCACTTTCCACCATCTTTGCCATTACATTACTCGCCTCATCAATCTTACCTTCCTTACATAGCCACTTAACCATTATATTATGAGTCACGGCATTTTCCTTAACCCCCCTCGACTTCATTTCCTCGAGCAACTTATGTGCTTCAACGCTACCCCAATGCTCAAAACACCCATCAATCAAAGTATTATACGTAACAACATCAGGCACCAGTCTCAAATTCTCCATCTCATCTCTAAGCCTAATAGCCTCGTCAATCTTACCCTCGTCACACAAACCTCTAACCATAGTATTATAAGTCCAAACATCGGGCAACATATCATTCCCAGTCATCAATTCAATAACCTCAGCAGCTTCTTTCAACCATTTCACCTTACAATACCCATGAACCAAAATATTATAGGTATTCCTATTAGGAACAAGACCACTACTCTTCATTTGTTGCAACAAATCCCTAACTTTACTCAACTGACTCCTCTTACACAAAGCATTCAAAACAGTATTGTAAGTAACATTATCAGGACAACAACCAAACTCGCCCATTTGATTAATCAACCGAAAAGCCTCGTTGAAATTATTATTAGAACAATAACCATGAATCAAAATGTTGAACGTGTTTGTGTTAGGTTGAACACCAAGTTTAATTGAATCCTGAAAAACCTGTCTTGACAAAAGAATAGAATGAGAGGAATTAGACCTTACAAGAGCATTAAGGAGAGTGTTGCATGTAAGCAAATTCGGTCGAAAACGAAGGCGTCTCATTTTATTGAAGATCTCGAAAGCGAGTTGAGGTTGTTGTGAGAGAACATAAGCAGCTATGGAAGTATCAAGGACAGGTTTAGGGATGGAATGATCGGAGCGAAGGAGGCATGAGTGAAGGGAATGGCGAGGATGATCGGAGGAGATGAAATCGAGGAGGAGGGATTTAGCGTCGGAGAATTTGCGGCGGGAGAGGAGAGGAGGGAGGAGAGTGAGGAGTGGTTTGGGGGAAACGGAGAGGGTTGAAGGTGCGTTTGTTTGGAACCATTTGAAGAAGGAAACTAGGGTTTGTGGATGAGAGTGGAGTGGCTTCCATGAGAGGATTGAGATGATGATGGGGAGAGTGAGGTGAGGGATGAAAGGTTGAAGGTGCTGTGGGTTTTGGTGGTTGGTTAGCATGGTGGTTATGGTTTTGATGAGTTGTTGTTCGTCGCCGTCGCCGTCGCCGTCTCCGCCGCCGGTGCCGGTGGTTGTGTTCATCATCTTCCTCTTTAATTTTCTGCTTCAGGGTTTTGGTTTTCTGGTTGTAGTTTTTTTTTTGTTTTGCACACAAAAGTTCAAAACAGTAAAATTTGAATTTGTTGACCTAGTTATTCTGATTATAAAATTATTAAAATGTCCAACTTAATTTTTGTTTGGGTCTTGATCATTTAACTTAGTGAATTTTTAAATTTGATTTTTATAATTTTTTTTTTGTTTTAGTCTTTATATTTTATTTTTTAGTGTGGTTTAATCTCTAAAGTTAAAATGTGTAAACAAATCTATAAGTTTTTGCAGATTTTTTTTTAATTTTTTCGGTGGATTTTAACTTTAGGACTTTTTTAATTTTTGTAAAAATATAATAGTTCAAAAATTCAATTTGTTTTCCAAGTACAAAATTTCTATTGTTAACCATCTAAATTTAAAATTTATAACCATAAATATTAACCACAAAAACCAAAAACTTTAATTACCACGTGTCAAAAGCTACGTATAAACTCATAACTCTAGTAAAGCTAAAAAATTGTCTTACCATCTCATCCAAATACTTCCGAAAATTTCAATATATACTTTACAAATCATTTCATATTTATGTATACAATAACTATATTATCTTATAAGTAAATTTTATCATTTACAAAATTATAAGCGATAAAA